CTCCTCGGGCACCCGCCGCGCCCCGCTGCGGAGGAGGGGGAGCCCCTGCCGCTGCGCCCCGATAGCAGTGCCTCCACCCGGGACAGCCCCGGCCTGAGCCCCGGCCTTGTTTTGTTTGCAGCCGGGAATCGTTAACAGCCTAATCCCATTACTGCCTGCATATCCTCAGGAAAGGTCCCGCTGCCGCGGGAGCTGGGATTCAATCGCTCTGCCAAAAGCTTCCCCCTCAGATAAGCGGGGAGTTTCTTGCCTTGTTCCGGGAAGCGGAGGGGGCGAGAAGGGGGCGGCGGGCGCAGCCGGGCTGGGGTCACAATTCGCTGTCCGGGCCGCGCTCGCACCGCGCCTGTCGCAGAGGTGGGGAGGAGGGGGACAAGAGACCGTCCCGTTTTGGAGCTGGTCAGGGGCTCCCGGCTGCTACAGAAGAACCGTGACAACACAAGAGCCAAGAGACTTAAAAAAAAAAAAAAAAGTAAGGAAAAAACCCACAAAGTGCAACAGATTAAGGTTAGTAAGGCTGAAAGGATTTAGAGACAGCAGACAACTAAAGCCCTAGGACTGTGTGCCCTTCTCCAATGTGGGGACACCTAGAAGAGGCAAAGATGAGGCACAACCTTACCCTCTTATGTCTGGCACCATCACATTTATTAAAAATTATTACTATGTACATAGAAAAAAAACTAAAACAAGTTTCTTGGAGGAGGAAAAAGTTTGTGGGCGAGTTGCTCTGGGGCTGATCAGTTTAAAATGGCTGAAAGTATAGGCAAGGATGGGTAAAGTTACATCACTTCCAATTTTATACAGGGCAGCTGAAAAAGTCACTTTACATACACATAAATAGAAATCTTCTTTTGCAATGCTTCATATGTTAAGTTTGATTAACCAAAAAAAAAAATTTTAAGAAAAATGAAAAAGCCTTTTGAACTTCAAAACACCACCGGATGTCCTTCCAACTGAACAGCTATAGGTCAACTATTTATACATTATTCCACAATATTCTACAGTGTACCTAGACAAAACACAACTGTACACTTTGTTTTTCGCCACCTCAATAAAGGTTAGGCTTTTGGAATGGAGGCAGGGTTTTTTTAATGCAAGTTCTAAGCTAAGAAAAGTCAGATTTGGTCATTGTAATCCTGTTGTTGGCAACAAGACCTTCAAGTCAAAATCCTGCCTGGCAAGCAGGCCTTATTTTGGCACTTTCTGCCAAAAAAAAAAGCTGTAGCTGAGTGGATGGGTTGAAAAAAACATCTCAGTTTAAAGCAGAACATAGCATTTGTGCAGTTCCCTGGCAAACCAGTTCCCCTTTTATCAAGAAGGGAAGAAAATTAAATTTGGGATCCCACCCCCTCTTTTCCTTGCTCAGGAGTGCATAGATTTGATCAGGCCTCTGAGCCAACCCAAATTGTACACTTTAGTGTCTCAAATAAATACACCACATATTTAGACACTAGAGTTCTTACAGCTTCTGCATATGGCTCCTCCTAAACAAGGGGAAGAATTCTCCCGTGGTTTGCTATTTCCCTACTTTGTTACCTGCAACAGTCAAAAAGCTTTGGCACCTTCTTTAGAATTGCACACAACAACTCAAGGTGGAAGGCAAAGAGTCTTTTTGGCAATTGTAATGCAAAAAAACCCAAGGCCACCCTGAAAAAAAAATAATTAAAAAATCAGCCAATTGGAATAAAAAAAGATGCTTTAAGAACTAGTATAGAATGCATAGTAGCCCATGCCTTTTGAAGTGTCTTTGCTATAGTCCTCAGCATTAATGTCCTCACATTTCATTGTCGGGGAATTTTCATTGCTGGAAGTGCTAGGGGAAAGGCGTCTTCTCTTACAAGCACCTGTGTAGACCCCAGAATCATTTGAATCTAGAGACTTTATAGAAGGTGGAGTCTCTATCCAGGACGAGCCAATTTCTTCTTTCACCTTGTCCTTGGAAAGCTGGTCTTCAGTGAATCCCGGAGGACTCGTTCTTGAGGTCCAAGTTAGTCCTGTTGTCATTTTTCGCTGGTAAGAGCCCCTGCTCCCCCAGCCTGCCACGGATGGAAATGTCGGGTCAGGGTAGTATCCCAGAGCGTGGGATGTCTGAAGGGGGAGGGATTTAATGCCATAAGGAAGCAAGGTGCTATGAGAATACTCCGTCTCATAGGAGTTCATGTCCAGTTTGTTGGCACTGGGCTGCTGCACGGGCGTCACAAACCACCGCTGAGGAGAGCTGGCCACCTCCTCGTTCGGCTGTGGGGACAGCAGGCCATTTGTCTGAGGGACAGCTCTCTCACCGTTGTAAAAGCGGGCTGGGGGCAGGTTGTTGACAAACTGTTCTTGGAAGAATGGCTGCATACTGTATCGGGCGCCAGGGACGATCTGGTGGGATCTAGGAGAATCCGTGGGAGATGGAGTTAATCTGTCATTTTCGGAAGCTGTGTACATGCTACAACATAAAAGAGAAATAGTGTTTTTCTTTACAATTCCAGTATGACAGTAACACAACACTAAAACACAAAGAAACTAGATATTTCTTAATTAGAATCATAACTATATTTAATTGGCTGGATATTTTTTAATCTGATTTAGCAGGCACTTTTCCTAAACCACTGTAAATTTTCTATTACTGCTGCAAGCAATAGCACAAGTGAAGGCAAAAAGCAATTATTAGGCAAGTCTTCTGCTGACAATTTAAAGAAGCTGCCTGCTCTGTGGAGACATCCAATATACTGCTGCCAGTGAAATCTGCAGGCCAGCTGGGTTCTGCCAGTATAAGTTTCCTACCAATATTCAGAAGCCAACAGAAAGGCAGGTCACCTAGACAATACACTATTCAGATTCTTTAATATATGCAAAAGTGCCAGCAGAAGAAGTACTGGTGATGAATAACTGAATTAGTGTCTAAAAGGAAAAACCCTTCCACAAGCATTTCAGGCCAGAATCGTGCCTCCTAGACTGACACATCTGCAAAAGAAGACAGAGGTGTACTTACGAGTCATAATTGTCTCTGAAGCCTTTTGCAAAAGGATTATGGTCAATTTTGAGTTGTGTAATCTAAAAGTGAAAGCAGAATATATTAGGATTGATTCTGAGCCCACAAGGTAATAAATTTTATTCTTTATTGCAATTTTATACATTCATGCTTACATCAGTGTTTTGATATGCTGTAACTGCTATGAACTGCGTTTCAGGGAAAATAAACGTTTGAGTCTTTGAGGAATCATTCAGATCTTCAACACCATCTTCAGTCACTTCCACAATGTGAAGTCGGGGTTGGTACTTGTGTAGGGACTGAAGTACTATCATCTAAAAGAAACCGTGAAAGAGACAACATCTTTAGGTAAACTGCTTGTAACATTAAAAGACCTATATTACAGAATGACCTTTTCTTCATGTAAATTGTAATCTCTTGGTTTAGAAGTGAAGCAGTTTTAACAGTTATCAGGAGCTGAGTCACAGCTTGCAGTCCTGTTTCACCAAGAGCTATCTGTTACCCTCCCACTTTTTGAACAACTCCAGGGGATCAATATATTGTCTAAAACAAAAGAAATTCACACATCATATTTCCAACATTTTCAACTATTCATACGGAGGAACAAAGAAAACAAGCTCCATGACCCAGCTCAAGAGGGGAACGACTCACAAGCAGAGTGATTTAGCGACTTGATGAAATGCTGTAAAAGCCCCAAAACCCCAGAGCTCCCCCGCTGAGCCACCAAGAGCCCTTCAAGCCTCCCTCTCCCTCCTTACCTGCGCGTTGTTGTTGTTAGCGCCTTTATTGTTCGTGAGCTTCAGCTTCCCGAAAGAAATCTCCTGCCTCATCCAGTGAGCCCCGGTGTTTGGCGACTCAGGATGGACGTAGACCTTGTTGCCTGCGGAAAGACAAGCCAGTGAAACGCCGGCCGGGCAGGGGCTTTGTTCCGCCGCCCGTGCAGCCCCTCCGCTCCCCGATGGCCCAAAAAGAGTCGCAGGACGACCTTAAAAGCATGCCTGGTCCCTCAGCAGGATGCCGGGTGTGGGGAAGACCCTGAAGGGGGAGGGGGGGAGGAACCGGGAACCCTTTCCGAGAAACTGACCCCCGGAACCCGCACCCACCTTGCATGTTGTTGTCGGCCTTGCCGCAGGTCACCCACTTGCCCCCCTGGAAACGCCAGTGGTTGGGGTCCGCCAGCACCACCTCCACGAAGACGTTGTAGTGGGCCGTGGGGTTGAGGCCGGTGATGTTGAAGCTCAGGAAGGGAAACATTCTCCTAGGGAAAGGAGGGAAACCACAAGGCATGCTGAGACGG